CTTGGGTATGTTGTGGGGCTGGCCGGGGGGGGGTGGGTGGCGGAGGTGGGGCAAAAAAGGAGAGAGAGAGCGTGACTGAACCGAGAGGGTTCGTGGAGAGCTGAGGCACTGTCCTGTGTCCTTAAGGAAACCAGGAAATAAAGCCGCCGCCGCCCCCTTCCCAGGGTGTCAGTTTTATCTCGATTTTGATGGCACCTAGACCAGGAGGTCTAGTAATGGCTTTGGAAAGTGGCCAGTGGGTTCTAAGAATACATGCTCGTTGCACCATGATGGTACAAGGCAGGGTTGCTTTTTTGCTCTGGCTCCCGCTTTCCCTCCCTCCCTCCCTCCCTCCCTCCCTCCGCACTTCGGGTCATTGGGCAGGAGAAGATAATTTACAGAGACTGCCAAAAGAATAGCTGGGAAGCAACGGAGGACATATTTGGTACGTTTCACTTTCACATGACGGGGATAACCGTGGCCCAAAGTTGCTTGTGTGCACATTGGGAAGGGCTTGAACTTCCAGGAGCGTCTTAAACCCCTGACTCAAAGAGACGGAGGCAGCTTAGAAAAAGACCAAGATTGGGCACCACACGGGGTCTTTTATAAAGCTTTCTGGGGCTTGTGGTAGTTGTGTCTACTGCTTTTGACTGCCTCCTGCAGTGTGTGATGGAGGAGGGGGATTCTTGCAGAGGGCTGCAGAGAATTAAGGAGGAAGTGCTGAAAAGGAGTAAATGCGCAATGCATGACATAATAAACAAAATGCATCCAGTGCCCCTTTGCTGTGCGAGATACAAGCCACTTAAACAGGCCTGGCTCTGTTCATTTCATTTACTCTCAAGTGTCCCATTGCTTTTAGGTGGACTGCCTGAGTCTCGTCTTGAATGTACACTAGTGTACAGTTTTGCATATTTTGTCTGGTGTTTGTTTCCTTGCCATATATGTGCAACAAAGTATTTAAGCTTTGATGGAGGAAGGACAAATTGTGACTGTAGCACAAATCATAAATGAATCCATGTATGCTGTTGTAGAGCTTTGGGTTTCAAAGTATATTCGAGTTATACCAGTTTATCCTGATTCCATCCATTTGCCCAAAGAGTTAATATTTCTGCCTGTGATTATTATAAGGCTGTCACTTAGCAACAGGTGAGCAGGGATTGCTAAATTCATGCCCCTCCCTCTTGTGTCCATAAGGGTTCGAGCAGAACCAATCAAAAAGCAAGTAAGCCTGTAATTAGTGAATTAACACCTGAGGTTGTGTGTGTGTGACTGAGATGCTGCATTTAACAAAACAACTGTATTTTGATTTAGTATCCAAAGGTTAATTGGAGTAGTGGTAATTGAATTAAAAAGATATATTAGTTAATGCAATCACAGGAAACAATTTGGGCATATGTCAAATATACCCCAATACTTTACATCTGAGGTTGTTTTGTTTTAGTGTAAGGGGGCGGGGAGAAATTAAGTTGCACACTGTTTCCATGGACTTAACATTTAAAAACATTTGAGCTTGATACACATGTGGCCTAATTCTTCCCTAGACTTATGCTAGTGTAATTGAGAACAGAATTTGAACCAGTGACATTACATTTTGGAAAATACAGCTCAAGGGTTCCTAACTTTAGCACAAAGTCATGCATGCTCTATCGATTAGAAAATATATCAAAAATTTATAGAGTCACAGGAATATAATGTGCACTTTTGGAATGCTTCCAGTGCCATAAAATTCTATCGAATAAAGGAAAATTATATGAGACAAAAGGGTATTATTTTAAAATAGTAAATTAAAGAGGCACTTACATTGGTAATTTCTGTGATAGGAGTAAAATATAGTAATCCTTCTAACCTAACCTGTAACCAATACTTCAGAATTCTCAGAATAGTTGAGGAAATCAAGGGAAATTTATTCAGTTTGCATAATTAGTTCTGATTGCATTTTTTTTAACAGTCTGTGAGTTTGTGGCAGAAACTAGATGACAGATACAACATAATTTTATGTAGTAGTTCTGTCCACGAAAACATGAACCTGCCTTCTACTGAATCAAATCATCCATTGTTCTGGTCTGCCACCATAGGTTTCTTCTATTCTCTCTGCTCTGAAAAGACAGGGAACGATGGGCATCAGTCACTAGCTGTGTGTAGTTACATGACTGGATCTCCAAATGTGTTTTGGCTCTGAAAAACAGCCATGCAGAAGGCTGGCATGAATAGGGGCTGCACTGATGGGGTGTGTGTGTTTCTTATTCCACACAGTATTCCCTACTTAAAAGTAGGGGAGGGAAAAGGTACTCATAGTTTTCCTGTCCTTTTCTCATACTGAGGCTAAAAAGCAGTACCACGAATGGCAATTTCAATTAGAGAAATGGTTTGGGGGAAATTAATTCCTCTTCCACAGCATCATAGCCCTGATCCACATACACCCCTTCCCTAAGTAGTTGTTTTAAACAGAGTGATTTGGGAGATTCAGCTGTGGAATTTCATTATCATAGGTCTAGGAGGACGGAGGGTGAGAGCTTCACACACCACTCAGTCAGAACTTCCTTCTTGAGGGTTTGCTTTGTTGTTCAGTCGCACAGTCGAGTCCGACTCTTCGCGACCCCATGGACAATCTCCCGCCAGGCTCTCCTGTCTTCCGCCGTCCTCCGAAGTTGGCTCAATTTCATGTTCGTTGCATCGCTGACACTGTCTAACCATCTCATCCTTTGCCGTCCCCGTCTTCTTTGACCTTCAATCTTTCCCAGCATCAGGGTCTTTTCCAGTGAGTGCTCCCTTCTCATTTGGTGGCCAAAGTATTTGAGCTTCAGTTTCATTATCTGGCCTTCCAGGGAACAGTCAGGGTTGATTTCTTTGAGGATTGACTGATTTGTTCTTCTTGCAGTCCAAGGGACTCTCAAGAGTCTTCTCCAGCACCATAGTTCAAAAGAATCTATTCTTCGGCGCTCGGCCTTCCTTATAGTCCAACTCTCACAGCCATACATGACTACTGGGAATACCATTGCTTTGACCATGCGGACTTTTGTTGGCAGGGTGATGTCTCTACTTTTTATCATGCTGTTTAGGTTCGCCATCGCTTTCCTCCCAAGGAGCAGGCGTCTTTTAATTTCATGGCTGCAGTCACAGTCTGCGGTGATCTGGGATCCCAGGAACGTGAAGTCTGTCACTACTTCCACGACTTCCCCTTCTATTTGCCAAGGAGTGATGGGGCCGGATGCCATGATCTTAGTTTTTTTGATGTTGAGCTTCAAGCCCACTTTTGCGCTCTCCTCTTTTACTCTGAGCAAGAGGCTCTTTAGATCCTTTTCACTTTCAGCCATTAGAGTGGTATCATCTGCATATCTGAGGTTGTTGATCTTTTCCCCAGCAATCTTAATTCCCGCTTGTGATTCATCCAGGCCAGCATTTCGCATGATGTACTCTGCATATATATTAAATAAGCAAGGCGACAATATACATCCTTGTCGTACTCCTTTTCCTATGCTGAACCAATCAGTTGTTCCATATCCGGTTCTAACTGTCGCTTCTTGGCCCTTATACAGGTTTCTCAAGAGACATGTGAGGTGGTCTGGTACTCCCATCTCTTTAAGGACCTGCCATAGTTTGTTGTGATCCACACAGTCAAAAGCTTTAGCATAGTCAATGAAGCAGAAGTAGATATTTTTCTGGTACTCTCTTGCTTTCTCCATAATCCAGCGAATGTTGGCAATTTGATCTCTAGTTCCTCTACCTCTTCGAAACCCAGCTTGTACTTCTGGTAGTTCTCTATCCACGTACTGTTGAAGCCTAGCTTGTAGGATCTTGAGCATGACCTTGCTAGCGTGTGATATGAGTGCAATTGTGCGATAGTTTGAACATTCCTTGGCATTGCCCTTCTTTGGGATTGGAATGTATACTGATCTTTTCCAATCCTGTGGCCACTGTTGCGTTTTCCAAATTTGCTGGCAAATGGAGTGCAGCACTTTAACAGCATCATCTTCTAAGACTTTGAATAGCTCAGCTGGAATACCATCACCTCCACTAGCTTTGTTGTTAGCAATGCTTTCTAAGGCCCATTTAACTTCACATTCCAGGATGTCTGGCTCGAGGTCAGTGATTATACCGTCGTGGTTGTCAAGGACATCGAGGTCTTTCTTGTATAGTTCTTCTGTGTATTCTTGCCATCTTTTCCTAATCTCTTCTGCTTCTGTTAGGTCCCTACCGTTTTTGTCCTTTATCATGGCCAGCTTTGCATGGAACGCTCCCTTGATTTCTCCAACTTTCTTGAAGAGATCTCTAGTCCTTCCCATTCTATTGTTTTCTTCTATTACTTTGCACTGTTCATTCAGGAAGGCCTCCTTATCTCTCCTTGCTGTTCTCTGGAAATCTGCGTTCAGTTGGGTAAATCTTTCCTTTTCGCCTTTGCCTTTCGCTTTCCTTCTTTCCTCTGCTATTTGTAAAGCCTCATCAGAAAGCCACTTTGCTTTCTTACATTTCTTTTTCTTTGGGATGGTGGTGATTGCTGCCTCCTGTACGATGTCACGAACCTCTGTCCATAGTTCTTCAGGCACTCTATCTATCAAATCCAGACCCTTGAATCTATTCTTCACCTCTACTGTATATTCATCAGGGATGCGATCTAGGTCAAACCTGAATGGCCTCGTGGTTTTCCCAATTTTCTTCAGTTTAAGTCTGAATTTTGCAATGAGTAGCTCATGATCTGAACCACAGTCAGCTCCAGGTCTTGTTTTTACTGACTGGATAGAGCTTCTCCATCT